TCTCGGCCCCCCCCACCTAACACTGTGTCGTGGCTGTGGCCAAGGGGCGGGGCCGCTCTCCAGAGGGTATTGAGTCTCTTGGGTGTGGGTAAAGCTCCCGCTCCTGGAGTCAGGTGACCGCCCAGGGACTCCCCCTTCCCTTGACTGCCCAGGGAGGTTTCTAGCTGGCCTGGCTGCAGCTGACCTCTCTGGAATCGGGCCCGAACGCAACTGGACCTTGGCCCAGCTCCTGGGCAGCTGTTCCCTGCCCACCCGGTTTGGATTCAGAGCAGACCCCCTCTGCCCCGGCCCCCCCAGGGACTCCCCCTTCCCTTGACTGCCCAGGGAGGTTTCTAGCTGGCCTGGCTGCAGCTGACCTCTCTGGAATCGGGCCCGAACGCAACTGGACCTTGGCCCAGCTCCTGGGCAGCTGTTCCCTGCCCACCCGGTTTGGATTCAGAGCAGACCCCCTCTGCCCCGGCCCCATGAGCAGGTACCAGGTGTGATCCCCGGTGGTTGCCACGCACAGCTGGGGCATTGGCAGACGAGGCTTCTGTGCGGTTGGAAGGGTTGCTGTTGATTGTACCTGTGGAACAGCTTCCTTGTTGGAAATAACACCCACAGCCGGGTGCAACTGCGGCCAGGCAGAGAACTCCAGCCCTGAGAATCGCTCTGGCGTTCACAAGAGCGAGAGGCGGCCTTGTCTTTCTCCGCGCACTTTGCCTTGGTGCCCCCGCGTCACCTGTGCACGGCACAGGGCTTGCCCTCCTGTCCCGGTGTGCTGCAGCAAGGAAAGGGTTAACCGCAGGCCCGCCTCCTGCCCCCTCCACCTGGGCACCTGCCTCCTCCCCGGGGAGCCTGCCCAGATTTCTGGTTCTAGGGGAGGCTGAGTCTTGCGGCACGAAGCTGAAGCGTGGGACGACGGACCCGTTAATCCAAGGGCCCCGCTTCTCCTCAGCCTTTCCTGCGAGATGCCCTGGCCCCATGCCGGTGGGACCCAGCCGTGGCCTGGCGGCGGGGCGCGGGGAAGGGCCCGAGTCCGTGGGACGAACAGCCCCACCTATGCCCTGCGAGACAGTGGGTCAAAGTCCCTTTGCGTCTCTGCATTTATTGCTCGTGGTAATTGCTTCTGCCGCGTTCACTTCACTTTTTTCATGTTTCCCTCAGCCGGGATTGGGTGACCCTCTGGGCGGCTCAAGCCAGCCATCTCCGTCAGCAACCTTGGCCCTTTTGGCGTGTGCGTCTGTGGGCCAGGGAGACGCTGGTGTGCTAGGACCAGTGCCAACCCCTGAATCACACAGGGGCCCAGGAACTCTGCCAGTGGACACTATCAATTCACTTAGATCCTTATCTGCCTCGTTTTAACCACCCAATCTACAGATACTCACTGATTCCCTCTAGTTCCCAGTCTCCCTCCCCCGGCCCTTCTCTCCTATTTATTTTGGGTCTGCACACCCTAAACTCAAAACTCCAGTCGTCTGAAGAAGGGGGCTGTGCCCACCAAAGCTCATGATCCCATCGACATGTTTTGTTAGTCTAGAAAGTGCTACCAGCCCATTGGTTGTTTTTTTTCCTGTACAAACTAACTCAGCTACCCTCTGCAGCTAATGGCTTCTCTGTCCGTGCCAGGGGACAACGAGGGGAGACACACTTCATCGCAACAGCAGAGAGGCCAGGCCGGGCCAGACCAAAGGTCCATCCAGCTCAGTGTCCTATCGGCCAAAAGCGGCCAAGACCAGGGGCCCCACAGGAAGGGAACAGAGTATCATCAAGGGTTCCCACCCCTGTCACCCATTCCCAGCTTCTGACAGAGGCTACGGTCACCATCCCTGCCCATCCTGGCTAACAGCCATTGATGGAGCTAACCTCCATGAATTTATCTTCTTCTTTTTTCAACCGTGTTAGAGTCCTCGCCTTCACCACATCCTCCAGCAAGGAGTTCCACAGGTTGACTTTGCGCTGCGTGAAGAAAAACGTCCTTTGGTTTGTTTGAAACCTGCTGCCTGTGCATTTCATTGGGTGACCCCCTCATTCGTGTGCCGTGGGAACAAGTAAAGAACTTTTCCGTCTTCACTTTCTCCGCACCTGTCATGATTTTACAGACCTCGTTCCACTCCTCCCTTGGTCTCCTCTTTGCCAAGCTGAGAAGTCCCCGTCTTTTCACCGCCAGCAGTGGATTGGGACTGTACCATCAAAGGGAGCAGGGAAGGTTTTCCTGGGCACGGTACCTGAAGCTGCTGTTCACACTGCTGCTCCTTTTCTCCCAAGACAGCTCAGGACAGGGCCGGGAGGAGGGGAAGTGGGCACGCTCTCCAAGCGCACGTCACTGATGTTCCCCTCAGAGGAATTCAGGCACTTGCTGCCGGCAGCTTTGGGCCTGGAAGAGACGCAAACCTTCCCCCAAATGCCCTTCGCCCTCAGGCCTGCCCATTCGAGTCAAAGACATTCCCTCAGGCCTCTGGGCGCGCTGGAAGGGATGAGACGGGTCACTGTGACAGGCCGGGTGGGCTGCGAGTGTTGGCCCCCCGCAACCTCAGACATCCTGAGCCGAGGCAGGGCCGGGGCCGGGGAGGGGCAAGGGCTTGGGGCTGGGGTGGCGTGGGGCTGCTGGGCCGGAGGCTCAGTGCGTCATTGCTTCATGGTGCCCCCTGGTCCAAGTTGCTAGGCCAGGCTGGGCGTTCAAGGGCCTGTCCTGTTGCCCTGAGCGCCAGGACACCCCGAGGCATTTGCTTCCAGTTCTCTGAGGGGGAACGTGCCGGGAGGAAGAATGTGGACCAGACAGGCCCGTGGAGCCTCCGCGAGTGGTGGAGTGAAGGTTGTCAGGCTGTGGCAAAGGAAGTTGCTAGGCCAGGCTGGGCGTTCAAGGGCCTGTCCTGTTGCCCTGAGCGCCAGGACACCCCGAGGCATTTGCTTCCAGTTCTCTGAGGGGGAACGTGCCGGGAGGAAGAATGTGGACCAGACAGGCCCGTGGAGCCTCCGCGAGTGGTGGAGTGAAGGTTGTCAGGCTGTGGCAAAGGACTCTGTAGGGCAGCAGGACTCCCAGGGAATGGGGGCG